TCTCTCTCTCTCTCTCTCTCTCTCTCTCTCTCTCTCTCTCTCTTTCTCTCTCTCTTGGTCTCTCTCTCTCGGTCTCTCTCTCTCGGTCTCTCTCTCACTCTGTTTCATCTTTCTGTTCTCCTTTGTATGTCTCTAACTCTATATCACCTTCTTTCTTTATTCGCCTCTATATGATTCACTCATTCTCATTGTGCCTCCCCTCCCTTCTCCTTTTCTCCTTCTCTCTTCCTTTTATCCCTCTCTTGTCTCTTTCTCACCCACACCCCGTAAAGGAACCTTTGATTACATTAATTACATTAGGAATATTGCTTGTCACACACACTCCAGAAGATTAACTAGCACCAACTTCACACAAGAATGTAAAGACAAAAGTAAAGACACCAGATGAAAGCTCCTATGTTACACCTGAGTTAAAACATAGTAAGTGGATTGTAGAAATGAACATCAACTCTTGGACATGGTGATTAAGAGGTGGTCTCAAATTACTCTATTAATTAATTACAGTATTTTTCCGTTGTTTCCTTTTTATTTACCACTAATGTTTTTGTTGCTGTATGAACTATATGTGCGCTCTACTCTGTATGTGTGCGTGCATACGTTCGTGAGTGTATGTGTTGTGCATACCTGTGTACACGCGTCTGCATGCGCGGTGCAAACTTGTGCGTGCGTGTGCGCGTGTGCGCGTGTGCACTGAATACCTGTGTGTACTTTTCTCCGTCAGAGAGTGGCTGCGTATGACCTTTGGCTGTGGTATGCTCGACCCTGAACTGTAGTTACTGGGACTCGTGGATCGTGACGACGCATTGCTCTTGCAAGCGGTTGGAATGCTGGAACCTAGAACACAGAAATATTGAGAAAAAATTACCTTCATTGCTAATATTACGCGTTCCAATCGCCTCGAAAAAACAAACAGTTCTGCACAAGAACATAATTATCGCATGGAAAAACATGAGAGAAGACATTCAGTGGCAATATTTTGTAATTATATATAATTATAATATAATTACCCACAAAACCAGTATTTATGCACGTTCTAAAGACGTGTTGTAATTTACCTCATAAAGTTAAAACAAGCATTCGTGTATACATTCAAAGCAACCATGTACGCACATACATCAGTACGTATGTAGGTCTTACTCTCGTCAGTGATATAAATTATTCTTTTGCATGTAATCATGCTTTACTGCACAGTTCTTGACATATCACGTACTCGCAGCTAACGCAGTTTGCCTTCTTAATCAGAAGTTATGACGAGCTTACGCATAATCAAGTATCCCCTTTAGTTCCAACTACTGTACATGCGCCACAAATTCTTAATTTACATCAATCAACTCTAAAGTAGTTGCATAGAATTATCGGGTTAAATTGATGTAATTGGCTTCTGTTTGCGCACGTGTTCGCCAGACAGACCAAAATCAACAAACTAGATGTTCAATGGAGCTCTGGAATCACAGATATATAACAGCAGTAGGAGAGGGAAAGGACGAGATCAGGAGAGAGAGAGAGAGAGGGGGGGCAGAGAGAAAAGAGAGAAAGAGAGAGAGGGGGCAGAGAGAGGAGAGAGAAAGAGAGAGAGGGGGCAGAGAGAGGAGAGAGAGGAGAGAGAGAGAGACTGAGAGAGAGAGAGAGGGGGGAGCAGAGAGAGGAGAGAGAGAGACTAATATATCACATTCAGTATCACACGCACACACGCATGCACCCACGCACGCACAAATATGCACGCGCGCACACACATACATACATATTCAAATTACAAACAATAAAACTTCATCAATGATAAAGAAGCCGCAACAGAACGCCCCCCAGGGGCGAGAAATTCATCGCAGCGTTAATTTTAATAGCGGCGACATTTTTTGTAATTTTGTTATTTTTCTCAGCCGATTTTAATAAGGATGACACGGTGGAGTCGTTTGATGAGCAATGAGAGTCAGTGAGGCGTGTAGTTTGAAGAGAGGGAGACCATCTGAGGCACATAAACACAAACACACACACACACGCACACACACACACACACACACACACACACACACACACACACACACACGCCCACGCACAGACACACACACCCATATACTGTGAGTCACACACCACAACCGCATCCTTAGCTAAATGAGATGCCGTGCTAATTTTGCCTCCTCCCCCACAAAAAGACAATTCTAATTAATAAGCGTGGCGTGCCCTGCGATGTGGCGCGCGTGATTACGAGTGCAATAAGACCCCCCTCCTACTCCACCCGACCCACCACCACATGAGCCTCAGTTAGTCACGCGCATCCAACAATCGATGGCCCGCCCTGCCCTGCCCTGCCCTGCCGCACGCGTGCGATATCTATGTGGTATATGCTGCTGTTATGATGCTGCTGCTGCTGCTGCCGATGATGATGACAAGCACGCTCTTTGTCACGTCCGTGCGTTCGTCAGCGCTGTCGTGTAGTCAGCGATTAGTGGCAATGATCGGAGAGATTAGAGGCAGTGCGTGGACCCACACAGGCACACACACGCACGCACACACGCAAAAACGCACACGTACGCATGCACGCGCGCAAACGCAGGCACATGCACATGCACATGCAGAAGCGCAAGCATGCATGCATTAACGCACGCACGCACGCACGCACGCACGCACGCACGCTCGCGCTGACACGTACACGAACACACACACACACACATAGACACGCACGCCCCTCCCTCACCACACACACAGCAATTAGCGCTAGCAGTTGTGAGTGGTTGTATCATTTGCACAACTAATGAAACTCTATATGCGAAACGGGCGACAAATCCCGAGTAGCAAGTTCTCACTCCGGTAAAAATATCAAGCGCTCGGTTTGCCGCTAATGAAACGCCTGCGCATACACCAATGTCAGTGGCAATGGCGGCGGCACCGGCGTACACGGAGCAGTAATCCTAATCCCCAAAATACTAACAGCCAATCGGCCTAATGAAAATGAACTCTTGATCGTGCGGCAACAGCGGCAGCAGCAGCAGCAGCGGTGGCGGCAGCAGCAGCGGCGGTTAAAGATGTATTCACACAACGAAAATATGTCGCGCGTTTGTATCAGACATTGCAGTTAAAATACACGTAAATAACGTTATAACAAAAAATGAATGATAATAATAATCAGGCTACGTACAATTCAAAACGTGTAGCTTTTTATCTCGAGAAAGCGAGTTGACACACGGCCAGAGTGGCAGACGACGTAGACATCGTTAGTATCGTTAACATAACTTTTTCATCTGTGCAGTTATACGGGTAAGATCAGGATGATGGATCACATATAACTCATGATAAAACCAAGTTACATGTGTCAACTGTACCAATATACAAATTCCGTGGAAAAGTCATCTCTAGTATGGATTAATCGACGATGTCTGAGCGGACGTGGCGCGATGCAGTACGGGTGAAAGACGAGTCAATATAGCCGCGATAACCCACAGTGTGTGCTTCATGATGATGATGTCATCATACGTGATTAAGACGCTGCGTGCTGCCCCCCGCGGCGGGAAACCCTATAAGCTCTGGATCTATAAGCTCTCACAGCGCGAGGCTAGCTGATAACGCTATACAACTATATATAAAAAACTATATCTCTGACGTATGACCAATATGTGCTGTAAATGTCACGCATAGGAAATGTACGAGTAACGGTTGGTTTTAGTGTTCCGTCGTCCGTCCGTTATCCATCCACAACAATCACTCACTCCGTCATGCACGCACGCACGCATTAGTTTAATATCGCTAATAAAAAATTCGCAGACTTTGACTAACCGTGGTGTGGCCGTCCGGCTATAGGTTTCCGATCTAACAGGCTTATAGTACTTTCAGCTGAACAAACATGGTTTAGCAGTAGTGCGAAGAAGCGAGTGAATCAACAACTAACAACACAGACATACGCACGCATATGCATGCACACACGCCCACGCACGCACCCACGCACGCACGCACACATCAAATGCTAATGCGTGCTCTTATTCGACCACCTCCTCATAGATGAAAGAAAAAATCATGAAAACTGCAGGACGCACTATAAAATAAAATCTAAACACGCTTCAAGTTTGAGGGATCGCTCGGCTCCCAACGTCCGGTTTGCATATTCACGCACATATCTTTCAGACTAATCCGTGAATCCGAGTCCACCCTCGACTCACGGCCCGTGGTCAGCAGAGCGCGCGTCTTCTGCGGTTGCCAGGGTAACAGCGTTCAGCGCAAACCCGCCATGACACTTCTCCACGCATCACCGCTGGTTATTGATAGTGCTAGTGTAGCGCATAGCCCGGGACTAAGAGAGAGGGGGAGGGAGGGGCGGGAGGAAGGGGAGGGGCGAGGAAGGGAGGGAGGAAATTTCAGTAGGCTTTACCGACGAGTAGTAAGTAGCACGTTCATTACACGCGAAATTACTGATATGGATTTTTTCGCTCCTTTATTTTCGGGCAAGTAACCACAAATGATCGCTACCACACTCACAAAGGGAAATATTTATAGCTGATTATAGCTAGCGGTCTGCGATCAGCGAGCGCTGTAAGTACTCACGCACTTCACGATAACAGCGCTCTCCTTGCAGCCGCCTTGCAGTCAGTCAGACACACTACTACTACTACTACTACTATACTCACTCACTTACTATAGCATCTGAATCGGGGAGGATGTGGAAACCGCACGTATAGTCATGTCGACCACGGACAAAGAGATGGTGCGATCGGTCGGTGCGTGCGTGCGTGCGTGCGTGCGTGCGTGCGTGTGTGCGTGCGTGTCGTCGTAATGCCATGCGGCCGCACACGACACGGGCAGCGACGCAGAAAACAGGATGAAAGTAACGCGGTGGCGACAACTAATGGCCAGAGTTAATGAGGAGGGAGTAAGAAGGAGCTATTAACGTAGGCGGGGAGGGAGGGCGACGCCTTGCTGCGGCCTCACTGTGGCTATACTGACGGCCAGCTCGATTCCCGACCTATGTTACCACACGGGGACGTTTTTCTTCCTTTTCCTCTTTCTCCTTCCCTTTCCACTTCCGCTTCTTATTCTTCTTTTTCTTCATCGCCGTCGTCGTCGCCGTCGCCGTCATCGCCGTCATCGCCGTCATCGCCTTCTTCTTCTTCTTCTTCTTCTTCTTCTTCTTCTTCTTCTTCTTCTTCTTCTTCTTCTTCTTCTTCTTCTTCTTCGTCTTCTTCTTCTTTTTCAGCTTTTATGTTTTGTCCGCCCTCGTCGTTTCTATTGCAGATCATGTCCGTAACACTGAGGGTGGTCGCAGCCACGAGTGCCTGGTCGATTATTGAACTTCGCTTTATGCTTTGATGCTCAGAAGCATTTTAACTGCCGGCTGTTTGCCAGCTCGGACGAAGCATGCAACCAGCTCAGAGGGTCTGCGATCCATTACACAGTAGTGGGTTAATGGACTCTTGATTTGACCGATGGCTTTCATACGCGACTTGACTAGGGACACAGCTACAACCGCACTATACACTCACACTACTGACAGTGCATTCAGACTAAGCGAATATCTAGTTCGACTCCACTCACTATTATATAGTAGGTTCACACTAATTATTTGGTTTCGCCATAGGGAGTGGAGTAAATGTACAAGATCGTTATACCGTTATATTAAAGTAACTAATCGGAAACATGGACTTCCAGATTTACCACGTCATAAGTCAAGCAGGGGTGATCTTGTTCTTACTTTAGGACAGCGTAGTAGATACTAGATATTCGATGTGGCTTCAGCACGTATCTATCTACAGCCTACATGTGCACAGTTGTAAATATCATTTAGTCACATATATTAGCGTTGCCCGACCATCCACAACTATTTATTTCGTGTTAGGCTTGACCGTAAACAA